CAGACTTTTTTTGTGATAAAATCAAGTATTCGGCGTTCAAAATGAGATTGATTTTAAAATTGATTTTAAAATAAGTAATCTTTTTCAGATTTTTTAAAGAGTATGATCAATTTTAAATATAAGATTCATAAATTTTTTGAAAATATATTTATATTTAATTTGCACCAGCCCGGAATCGAACCCGGGTCTGTACCGTGGCAGGTTACTATTCAACCACTGGACCACTTGTGTTTCTTTTTTGAGAAGGTAACTCGATGTTTTCGTAAGAACAAAAATTTGATACTAAGAGCTCAACATAAAAAGAGGTAGAGGTAGATCGAAACTTACTTGGGGAAATGTGGTAAAATAATATATATATATATATATATATATATATATATATATATATATTATTACTATTCTATTTTTTATTTTTATTTTTACTTTTATGTTTCTTTTTTCAATTTTTTTGTATCTTTCATTTGGGTTCATCTACCACCGATTCTAATTAATTTGGAATAAAGGTGTTGTTGACGTTGATGTTGATATTTATATTTAATTTATACTTCCAAAAAGAAGTCTACTGTATTATTTAAATAAATAATTCTTTTATATTTATTTTAAAATATTATTCTCACACACAAATTAACTTTCTTTTTTAAATTGACTCTTTCAAAATTAATTTTATGAAAATCTAAACAAATGACAATTTCTTTTGGAGGCTAGGAACATCTAATGCCTCTTCTTTGAAGATTTCTTGCCATTTTTTGTACTTATTTACTGTCTTTTAGTAAATTCTCAAATCAAACTATTAGTCTATTATACCACTCATATACCTATTTAATTTTTTTATTAACATTTATGATAATGGATTTTAAATATAAAAAACACTTGGCTTTTTATTTTTATAGAGACGCAATGATTATCTACCAAAAAAAAAAAAAAGAGAGACGCAGTGATCAGTGATAAGGATCACTGATTATAAAACAATTAACCCCGTTAGCAACTCCAAACACAATTTCCCCCATTCAAATTACACAAACATTTCAAAATGATTAAAGAAAGAGTGGCCTTTGTCAAAGAAAACAGAAAGAAAAAAGATGTAATTTACGATGATCAATGTGTAAATACATCAAAATTGCAGTTGTTCACTGGAGAGAGGTTTTGCCTCAGGTCCATTGGATAGGGGTGGTGGTCATTACAGGAGATGGTGGTGGTGGTAAGCTGTAATTTAATAGGGAGTGGGGGTGGTAGGGACTTATATCGAAGAGAAGAAGAAGAGAGAAAGAAAGAAAAAATTAAAAGGTACCCAAACGACTTCGCTTTTGGTGCTGCAAGTGGGAGAAAAGAAGGAAAAAATAAATAGGAGGTACTCAACGACGTCGTTTTTGGTCCTACATAAAATGTGAGTCAACCACTTAACGGTACACGTCAAACACGTTACTGACACCGTCATAGTCAAAGGCGGACCCAGGGGAGGGGTTAGGGTTGCCACCGCCCCTCCCTGATTTTTAGAATTTTTTTTTATTATATATATAATTTTGGGTTGAAAAAAATTTATTTTGGACTAAAAAAATTAATTAATTGAGCTGAAAATTTCAAAAAAACTTAAACAAATACAACTTAAGAAATTGAAATTGTAGTTTTTTTTTAAAGGAAGGAGCAAACTTTTAGGGCTCAAGAAAAAATTTCAAAATCAGGCACACTTGATTATCAAGAGGGTGACGAAAATATTGTCAAAGAAGACAACAACAAAACACACAAACAGATGTTTCAATTTTTTGAGCTAAATATTGGGAAAGGAAAAGAGCCCGCATCCATTGTCCAATAGAAGATAATCAAGATCAGACTTCAAAATTGAATGAAAAATCAATTTCTTGATGATTCTTTGATTACATATGTTGAAATAGAAATTGTTTTGAATTTTAGCACAGATTCAACTATAGAAGAGTTTAATAATATGAAAAAACGTAGAGCAAGAGTTAAGTGAATTGACCTTAAATTTTGTAATAAAACTCTTTCAAATTTTTTATATTAAGTTCATATATGATTGTATGTACTTTTCTTAATAATAAAAAAAAAAAATTTGCCCCCCTCTATAAATTTTTTTGGGTCCGCCACTGGTCATAGTTCAACTAATAGAAGGACTAACGTGATACTATTTTTCTAAAATTAAGGACCAAAATAAGCCTTTTTATTGTTGGAGACCAAAAAGAATTTCGTGAATATTGTCAGAGACAAAAAGAGGTATTTACTCTTAAAAAAACAGAAGTCATAAAAAAAAATTCTATTTTTTTTTTAGATGTTAAAAATTTTCTTTTAAAAAAAGTAAAAGTCAAAAATCAAATATTTTTTTAAAATCCTAAATAGCTTTAAATTTTATAAAAAAACATTTTTAAAATAAATAAGAAATAAAAAAAAAACTTTTTTCAAAAGCCCATTCAAACATTCACGGGAAGAACTTAAAAGTTCAAAGCAAGAGCTTGTTTGACCCTTCTCTTTCTTAAGCTAATACTAAAAAAAATTAAAAATTAAAAATAAAGTTATAAACTGTTTGATGATTATATAAAAATTTAACTTAAAAATTATTATTTTAAAAAAAAAACACATTTCAAAAAAAATCTTATACAACTAAAAAAATCTCCCTTTTGTCTTTTAATTTTTTTCATCATAAAAAAATTATTTTTATTATAAAGGTTTTTGTAAAATCCAACTTGGACTAAATTCTAGTTATAAGAAGATGAGAAGCTAAATATGTGAATGTAACAAATTTCAAGCACGGCAATTTCCTTATCCATATGTTCTTGCTGCGCGTGCATCAATTCTTTTATATTACATGCAATTTATGTGTCGAATGTACTAAGTTGAAAAGTATTTGTAATACTTACCGGTATAAATTCCAAAGTTATGGGAAATGAATATGGGAAAAGTGTATATCGTTTTAAAAGATATAAAGTTATGTCATTTTAATTGAGAGAAGGAGATAGATAAAGGAGGATAGAGAGTATACAAAAAAATATAAAGACGTGAGTCACACCTCTTTGTGATAGTGAAATGATATAAATTGTGTCAGGATAAACACTTTTTCCATGAATATATTTACGTCGATATCATGATCCAAATTTATATTGTAATCCAGAAATGCAAAGGCTCGTCATGGTCGTCACTCGTCACCATCTACTAGCATTCTTAATAGCATGAATATTAAGGAGAAATATCATTTAAAACGTCAGTGGGTTATGCATAAACAACGGTCATACTACCCAAAAGTGTCCTTATCTCCGTGACACCTCTCAAAAAAAGCTAGGAACATTAATAATAGGTACCATCTTTTCATGAAATATTTCATTTCTTTAGAGTATTGTGTCATAATTTACAAGATTGCATGTTCAAAATTTTGATTGGATTTAATGTTTCATAATAAATATAATATCTCAAATATATATTCTACGTCATTTGTAATTTATGACTTGCAAATAAGAAAAAAACATTTAACTCAAATGTTTGATTTTATATTAATTATTTTAAAAAAAAAGAGTAAACACCCTTTTTAGTCCCTGTCAATATCTACGAAATCTTTTTTAGTGCCTGGCAATAAAAAAGGACCAAATTGGTCCCTGAAATTACAAAAAAAAGGGCCATGTTAGTCCTTACGTCAACTCCCAAATATGTAGAGTGACCCCTTTTCTTGTACTTTCAGGGACCAATTTGGTCCTTTTTTATTGTCAGGGACTAAAAAGGACTTCGTAGATATTACGAGGGACTAAAAATAGTGTTTACTCTAAAAAAAAAAAAATTCTTCAAAAGTCAGTTAGTAGAAAATCAACTTCCCAGTATGTGTAAAAAAATAAAGGGTTATATAACTATTATGTAGTATGTGAAAACTTTTTTTCCTCCAGACACAAATTCGGATGAGATTCATTGATTTTTTTTTTATACTTGTTTTTGCATGATAAATTTTTTTATTCCTGTAACATGATAGTTTTATAACTCAAAAATAAATTAGGAAGTCATTATGAGGGAAAAAAAAGTAACTTGTCAATGTATTTTTTTAAAATAGTATTAAAAACTTGATTTGACAAACATTGACCTCCAAAAACTCAAAATAAAAATTAAGAAATAATATTCCAACATAATTATTTTAAGAATTAAAGTTAAAAAAAAGCCTTAATTATGCGTATGTTTGTATGTATATAACAATAATAAGAAGAAGAAAAAAAGTCGCTGTCATGATCCTATAAACCCTGCATGAGAATATTTTTAGTTTGAAAATCATGACGATAACTCATATAAACCACTGGCATTATTCAATTTAATCCCGATTGTCCCCCCTCATCGACGGCATCTTATCAAACACATAAAATGACGATAGACATGACCGCGTTAACACCTATTCAAAGTCATTGTTAAATTATAAATGTGATCGTTAGATAAAGTGAAAAGCATCACGGAAATTGGAAGCAAATAAGAACTTGTTTTTTGCTTTCCATATTTTATCAAATGGCAATTTTCTTTTATTTTTACTGAGAAAATGTCAATCTTCACATATAATAACTGTTATTATATTATCTATTTCATTTATTTAAGGAAATTAATTTTCTTATTTTATATGAGAAAATTTTCTCATGTTACATACATAATATATGAGTAGAGTCCACAAAAAAGTGATAAGATAAACAAATTAAGATGAGACCCACTCATGTATCGTGAATGTAACATGAAAAAAATTTCTTATATAAAATAAGAAACTTTTCCGTTATTTAAACACATAAATTCCCACAACTTTGTTTAAGTGTTCACTAATAATAATAAAAAGTTAAAATCATCCTCAGTTAATTATGCTCTGAAACTTTTACCAAGAAAAGTGCTAAAATGGATATGTGTAAAAGGACAAAATGTAAAAACAAATAATTTTTTTTGGTAGAAAAAACAATTAATATAATTTGAGGGAGGTTTATAACCTATAAAATCAAATAATTTTTTTTTTATATGTCTATTCAGAGAATGAATATTTCCATGTATATATTTTGAAATTTGGGCACATATAATGTTATGGTATAAAACGAAGGAAGAGAAAAAGAAAAAGCGATTATGGCGACCTTTTCCATGAATCCATGATCCATCCCCTTTGGACCTTTCATTTATTCGTTGCCATTTTGGCGAGGGTGCTGTTCTATATGTTCTTGTTCTCAACCACTCTTTGCTCTCTCTCTATTCTAATTTCTAAGCCTCCAATTTTGCTCCAATTCAACCCATTCACATTCATTTCCCATGGCTGTGACGACGACGACCGGTGCCTCTGCCTCTGCCACTTTCTCTATCTTTTCAATGTCTCAAATCCCAAATCCCAAACCCTTCATCCTTCAACCCCTTAAACCCAACCTACTCTTACCCTCTCTCAAATGCATTCAATCCCATTCAACCCCATCCAAACTCAACCCCGTTTCATGTTCTGCGCTCACTTTCTTCCCCTCTGAAACCGCCGAGCTTCTCGTTCCTTCCAAGCTCAGCTTTCTCGCCGACGAGTTCCGGTCATTGCCGGAGCCCGTCGACCGGGTGAAGCGGCTGCTTCACTACGCGGGTCACATGCCGCCGATGGACGAGTCGGCGCGGGTTGACTCGAACCGGGTCATGGGTTGCACCGCCCGGGTCTGGGTGGAGGTTAAGATCGATGGTGAAGGGAAGTTGAGGTTCGTCGCTGATAGTGACTCGGAGATAACGAGGGGTTTCTGCGCGTGCTTGGTTTGGGTGCTTGATGGGTCTGAGCCAGAGGAGGTTCTGAAGGTAACCACCGATGACTTGGTGGCTCTGAATGTGGGGTTTCCAATTGGGAGTGGGCGTTCGAGGATGAACACGTGGCACAACGTTTTGGTTAGTATGCATAAGAAGACGAAACAGTTGGTGGCTGAGAAGGAAGGGAAGGTTCCTTTTGAGCCTTTTCCTTCGTTGGTTGTCACTGCTGATGGAGTTCTTCCCAAAGGTAGCTACGCCGAAGCACAGGTTAGGACTATCTTGCCATTTCCACTTTCACCCTCTATAATTCAATCGTCACAATGATGTCTTGTTCCCTTTTTTTTATTTTTTTATTTTTTTAAGTATGTTTGAGAAACGACATAACTCGTTGTTTCTGGGAGTGATTTCTGAATAGAATACTTTGACACCGTCCAAAACGCTAAAAAGTTATGAAAGTGGAGGATCTGAGTTATGTGGTGCCTCTTTCTGTTACGACTTGCAAGAATCTGATGCTTTTTTTTTTCCCACCCTTCGTTTAAACGAGAGAAGACTTTTTTTTTTTTTTTTGGCCATGATTGTTGGATGGTAGCCTTCCTTTGTAAGTGGGGGTACATGACGGATTCCCGTTAGTGCTTTTACTTTAATATTATTTCCTATTGAAAAAACTGTCCTAGGCCACTAGGATTGGTACACTTTCGAGGGGTTTTTGGGTATGTGCTTTTACTTTAATATTATTTCCTATGGAAAAAACCGTCCTAAGCCCCTAGAATTGGTACAGTGACGAAGGGTTTGAGTATGTTGAATTAGGTGGTTATATGTATAAAAAAAAAAAAAAAAAAAAAGGTCATCTAGGGCTCTCTGATATGCATACTAACCAGAACGTTACACAATCGATGAGGATCCCATATTAATCAAGGATGATATGGATATCGATAGTGTCAAGTTGCTCATACTATCACTTACACAGTCCAAACATATTGGGTTTTTTAGTGGTCACGGGTTCGACCCTTTGTGCACCGGATTTGCCCTTTATCTTGGTTAACGAACTTAAATTTAAAAAAAAAAAGAATGTGTTTACTTCACACCATAATGGATGGCTATGCCCACAAATGCAATAATTTCATGGAATCTTGACCTGACTGCATTAAACTCCTAATTTTCTTCTAGCTTTCCTGCAGGCAAAATACATGTTCCCTAATGAGTTAAAAGTTAATGAACTAGTCAATGTGCTGAAGGAGAAGAAAATCGGTGTTGTTGCACACTTTTACATGGATCCTGAAGTCCAAGGCGTTTTAACTGCTGCTCAGAAGCAGTGGACACATATCCATATATCTGATTCACTGGTCATGGCAGATGCAGCAGTCAAAATGGCAAAAGCCGGATGCCAATTCATAACAGTGCTAGGTGTGGATTTTATGTCAGAAAATGTGCGTGCCATCCTTGATCAAGCTGGTTTTAATGAGGTATGCCTTTCTCTTGTTTGTCTTCTCACTTTTGAAGATAGTCATCAGCAGGCAAAATATATGATGATATGTGAAGCGTGTCTAGAAGATAGACTTGTATTAGTTTCCCATTTATGACATTGGCACAGTTTGTATCATGTCACATGTGCAGCAGTAAAATAAATAAGCAAAGTTCAGTACTTGTGCTAAATGTTAATCCTTAATCCTTAATTTTCTTCTGATAATTATTTGCAGGTTGGTGTGTATAGAATGTCAAATGAGCGTATTGGCTGTACTCTGGCTGATGCTGCAGCTACTCCTAATTATATGGAGTATCTTGAGGCAGCTTCTAGGTCTACTTCTTTGCATGTCATATACATTAACACTAAGTTAGAGACAAAGGCCTATGCTCATGAGCTTGTGCCAACAATAACCTGTACTTCATCAAATGTTGTCCAGACTATTCTACAGGTTCGTTGGATACAAACTTTTTCATTTTCCTCTTTGGCTTTGTAATGGTCATGTGGATGCATCATGTTATGACCGCCACCAAGCCCTTTAATGCTTCTTTCTCAAATAAGTCCCCTTTTATGCAGGCATTTGCTCAAGTGCCAGATTTGAGCATATGGTATGGGCCAGATTCTTACATGGGTGCAAATATTAAAGAATTGTTGCAACAGATGACAAAAATGACTGATGAAGAGATTGCTGCAATACATCCTGAGCACAATCTGAACTCTATTAGATCATTACTACCACGACTTCACTATTATCAGGTAAGATTCTTAGCATGTTTTGAAAAGCTAAGGAAGAATCCACTTCATTTGCAATTGGATTTGCAACATTTGCATGTTGCTCTTCGTATTCACCATTTTGGGATACTGGCTTGGAGTGAAGTCCTTTTTTTGTACTTTTTTTCCCCACTGACAATGATAAATTTAATATGATAAAACCACTCCCATTAATATGATGTTATTCATTCTTATTATATATTTCCCTCTCTGCCCCTTTCTCTCACATAAGTTGGTATGGGCTTTGTTAAATGTTGGGTTTATACAATGTGTGACTTGGAGAGAGATTTGTCAATGCCTGCACTTATGCTTTAGTGATCCTTTAATTTAATTTAATTTTGGGTTCATTTTTCCTTTTATAAAATGTGGCTTATATTAGCTTGCCATCATCTTCTTGTTTGTGTTTTATCTTTGTAGGCTAATACTAATAATATATCATATATGGCTCTATATTCAGTATACTGTTCATTTCATGATTATACGCTCTGGTGGCAGGATGGAGCATGCATTGTTCACCATCTATTTGGTCATGAAGTTGTGGAGAAGATAAAAGAAATGTATTGTGATGCATTCCTTACTGCTCATCTTGAGGTACCTGGAGAGATGTTTTCATTGGCAATGGAAGCAAAGAGAAGGGGAATGGGCGTAGTAGGCTCCACCCAGAATATTTTGGATTTCATAAAAGATAGGGTTCAGGAAGCTTTGGATAGAAATATCAATGATCATCTCCAATTTGTTTTAGGAACAGAAACGGGGATGGTGACTTCAATTGTGGCAGCAGTTCATAGTTTGTTGAAGTCTGCGAAGTCCTCTTCTCAAGGGACAAAAATTACTGTTGAAATAGTATTTCCAGTTTCGTCAGACTCAATCTCAAGAACAACCTCAAGTTTGTCCTCAAGTCTTCATTCTGTTGAAGTGGGTGATGTCGTGCTTCCTGTTGTACCAGGAATAGCCAGCGGGGAAGGTTGTTCTATTCATGGTGGCTGTGCATCTTGTCCATACATGAAGGTAGAATTTGTCATTTAATTTGGATATGGTTAGCTCAATTTATAATCAACTTGAAATCTGCTCATTGAGTGACAATATCTTGAATTACAGTTGGATTAATAACCATAATCTGTAGGTTATTAAGTATAACATAGGTTATTGGTAAGATTTGATAAAAAAAAACTTCAATTCTAATCTTTTTTCTCACCAAGGTTGGTCAATGGTGAATGCCTTATGATTTTTTATCTGGACTATAAGTAATCAAGTTCTCTTCAATTTCATTGTTGGAAGCTATCATCTGATTGTTTCTTTGACCTTTCAGATGAATTCTCTTAGCTCACTCCTAAAAGTTTGCCGTCACCTACCTGATGAAGAAAATATTCTTTCTGCATACAAGGCAGAGCGATTTAAGTTGCAGACTCCAAATGGAAAATCAGTGGCAGATGTTGGTTGTGAACCAATTTTGCACATGAGGAACTTCCAGGTTAGTTTCTTGGTATAGACCTTCTATATTATTGACATCAGTGCCATGCGCTTTCGATTCACCTTTGGATACTTGTACAGGCTACTAAAAAGCTTCCAGAGAAGCTAGTTGGTCAGATTCTTCATCCCCAAGACAGACGAAGATAGATGTGATAAACTTGCGAAAAAAATGTGATGTGCAGACAGAAATATGTGCTGCTGTGTTGTGAGAAATTCCAAGTTGCAATAAACGCTAGATCTGCGCAAAGTTTTTTCTTCTAGCATGGTAATGATTGCTGCAGCCAGTTTTTGTTGTATGGTAGTTTCCCCTTCTCATAGGAAGCTTCTAACACTGCTTATTTAGATAAGATCACAAAATATAGTTTGATATCAGATATAGAGAAATGAATCAAATAGCATTTTTGGCTTATCCCCCCACTCTTTTTTTTAATATTTTTAAATATACAGCTCCGTGCGTAGGGCTTTTTTGTATTGGACCAAGAAATGCTTATCGCCCCTCTGTTTAAGGCAGAAGTCCAACCCTCTATTTGTCATTGTAGATTCCTTAATTTAATTTTTCGGTAATTTTGTCTTGTCATTTTAATGCCAATTTCTTACCCTTTCTTCCGTTTTTTTACTGCTAAATTTGTTTATTCATCTTACCAGTGTTCTACCTAGTGTTTTAAAACCCGGGTCAGACTCGCTGAGTCGACCTAGGTTTCAGTAACCCGATTTTAAAACCTGGATCGGACCGATTGGGTCGACTCGTGTTTTGGTAACCTAGTGTCCTCACCGGTTCAAGCTGGCCATTGGATCAGTCATGTAGTTGAACCGGTATCAACCGGGTGAATCGATCATGACCTGCGGTTCAACCATGTAAAATGAATTTAAATTTTGCTGCATCAAGAATTCGAACCCATGTGGAGTTGATGGAAGTTGCAGCATCTACCACTATGCTAGAGTCACTTACTTGTCATAATGCATATTTTAATATATTTATTATATAATTTAATTAAATTCAGTTTAATCTGTTGAATCACTAACCTATTAACCCAGTATATTGATTGAGTTGATGATCGGGTCGAATTTTAAAACATTGGATCTACTAAGTAGTGTTATCAAATTTGAACTGGTCATCGACTTGGTCGGGGTACTAGATCAATGAGTCACTGGTTCAATCACATAAATTAAATATATATTGTAAAATATAAAAATATAAAATTAAAAGCATTTTAGCTAATAATTAAAGTTGATTTAGTGGTAAGTGTTATAAGTTATATTCACATCTAGGTTTGAATCTTATTAGTGGTATTTTTCAAACATTTTTTTTTAAAATTTCAGAAAATCAGTTTTTTTAAAAAGTAGTGTTTGTTTAATATTGGTTGAATCTAGTTCACCGGTTTTATGCCAGGTTAAATGCATAATTGGTCCAATACTTAAACCGGATTAGTTAGGGGCAAGGAAGCACGGACACTTGTAAAAACAGGAAGAGTCGGGTCCGACACGCTCCGACACTGCGACACGCTCCGACACGGTGTCGGACACGCGGTTGACTTTTTCCGACACGTTGACCATTCCGACACGCGAATTTGACCGTGTCCGACACGGTCAAATGGCATTTTCGTAATTTTTTTTAAATTTTTTTTTAAATTTTTTTTAAAAGTTAAAATATATTAATAAAGCTTCCACCTGATCATATCAATTTTGTCTTTTTTGTCTTTTTTCCCCTTAAGTAGATAAGAGATCATCTCAGCATCATTGTTGTCAATTCCTATCACGCTCTTATTGTATCTTCTTCTCTCTGATCTCTCTCTAATATGATTTGATCTCTCTATCTGATATTATATATCTCTCTCATCTCAGTTCTTATTTTTTTTATTAAAGCTTCCATCTTTATAACGTGTTGATGAGTATTATTAATTTAGTTTCATTTTTTTGTTAAATTATTAAATATTAAATGAAATATACATTATATAAATTAAAAATATTATTTAATATTAAAACGTGTCCCAACGTGTCGAAATCCATAATTTTTTAGGATTGACGTGTCGGAGTGTCGTGTCGTGTCGTGTCGTGTCACGTGTTGCGTGTCGTATCGGTGCTACATAGGTTAGGGGTTCAATTTAAGTGTTAACTGATCAAACCGGCTCTGTTGGTTTAGTTTTTATAACATTGTTATCCAACATCGACTTTAAAATATACAGAACGCATGAATGTCTATGGTTTACTTTTTTTTCTTTTTTAAAAAGTTAGGGCTTAGGAGTTAGGACCCATGTTATAGAGCCTTAAGTGGCCTCCTAATGAGGTTTAGGAAATGGATAAAAGATAAGAGTAGGAAAATTGAGATGAATACTCATGGAGATTCAAATTTTATTAGAGAAATATAAAAATATGTTTTTCATTAACAATTAAGTTTTTAAGTTGAAATGATTTTTTACTTAGTATGATGGCTAATCAAGTGATCATGAATCTGATCCCTATTATCTTATTTTATTGATAATAAATTAATTTTTAATAGATTTTTTAGCACAAATAAATGAGTGTGTGTATTGTTTATCCTTTAAGCCTTTATGTGAGAGAAATAATAATTAATTTTTAAGGGATCTCTTATCGCATGTAAGTGGCAGGTTATGCATTGTTTGTCCACCCTTTAACTCAATAACCACGTATATGAAAGAAATATAAAACCATTAGTGTGATATGAAAAGTTTAATTCGATTATTAAGTGAGTTTAATATTTAACTTAAAAGAAGTTGACGTAAAAGTTTCTCGCTAACATTACCCACATCACTCTTGTAACAGCAGTAATTTTGGAACAAAGGGAAAGTAAAACCTGAAAAAGAACGTGACTTGTCATTAGAGGTGGCAAAGTGGGCGGCCCGCCCCATCTCACCCTGTCATTTATCCGTCAAAAAATGAGTCAGCTCACTTCACCCCACTTTTGAAAGTGGACTCAAAAACTCAGCATGTCCCGTCCCGTTTGGTGGATTGGCCCGCCAGCCCAAACCTATTTTATACTGACCTGCCTCAGCCCATCTATGCCTCCCGTCAAAAAATGAGTCCGTCCCGCTTTTGAGATGAGTTGAAAAACTCAATCCGCCCCGCCACATTTAACGGGTTGAGAGGATTGGTCCGCTGAGCCGAGTTCGTTTTGCCTCTAGTTGTCACTAGCAGCAGGCAAATAAACAATGCTAATGCAAGTTGCCATCCCTTGTGGCACATTGGTTGGAGATGGATCTCCGCTTTGGTTCGAGAAAACGGTGCCTTAACAACATTCAGACTTTTCCCCACTTGTGCTCGTCTTCATTTCCTCCGTGTCTTATGTTTCATTCTGCGTCTCCTTTGTCATGTGAAAAGCAATTCGAAGGTAATGGATGTTTCCTTCATTAAAAAGAAACAGATACTAATTGATGCTTCAAGTTCCCTGGAAATTGGTAAACAACATAATTAATCCAGGACAAGTTCAAAGGACCCAACAAAGTCGTAGAAAATGTGAGTATGGATAGGACCTAAAAGATTATTAATTATGCGAGAGGTCAAGGCTTCCTAAATTTCTTAAAGATCGAACATTCTTGGGTATTTTTTCTGCTTAACTGATTCCATGACAAATTCAAGGTACCCAAATGGAATATCTCTGTTAATGGTGAAAAGTGATAAATCAGATCTTTGAGTTTTAGGAACATTAAGGTCAAGATCTAAAGGTTACGGTCTAACTAAAGTTAAACTCGGCCTCTGGTCAGTGGCACAAAGTTATCACAACTTGAACTGTCCTTTCCCCGTCCCCGATTGCCATAAACTAATTCCATACTTGTTATTCATGAGGTAAAGTCTTTCAAATGGTTGAGATTTTATTAAAAGGAAAGTACCGTTCATCTTATGCAGTAAAACGAGTAACATATATTAGCCAGACATTCTGAATTGCCATAATAGCGCCATGTCAGATGCTGCACATATATACACTGTCTACGAGATACCAGAAATGTTAAAATGATGAATCAATTTTAGTAAAATTTCAGCCTAATCATTTTTTAAATTTTAAAATTACAAAAAGGTGATATATTTTATATTTTGTTTGGTATGACTTTGTACGTTTGAAAGCAACGGGAGAGCTTTTCTTTTTTATTTTTTTATTAACTCAAGGATAGTTTTCTTCTTTTCTTTTTGAAAAAAATATTTTTTTTTTTCTTTTAAAGGACTGGTATTTTATTTTAGTTAAAATAATTGATTTTTATTTAATATTTAAATTTAAAAAAAATCTCAATTTATCTCATCATAATTTCTATTATGTAACTTTTTTTAATCATAAAATACTATAATTTTGATTAAAATAACATAATTTTATGTTCTTTAATATGACAAACTCGAATCTCTTTCTTTTATGGGCTTTACATTATTCCTTCCTTCTTATTTTGGAAGGATTAATAAAGATAGAAATGAAATTGTTTTTATTTTATTTTATTAAAAAATGATTGAATATTTAATGGGATTTAAGTTTCTCCTAGAAACTTTGTGTCTCCTAACAAAAAAAAATAATGGGGCTCACCATATTTATAAATAAATATAAAGTAAAGGGGTATTTTGTTGTGTGTAATGTTTATAATATTATAAGAAATAAAGTTACTTTTTACATAAAAAAAAATATATGAGATTTATATTTGTCTCATATATTTGTTTTTCTCTTTTTTTTCATATGGGCACCATAAATTTTTATGTGTATTTTTAAAATAAATTTATCTCCTACAATATAATAAAGATTAAACCCTATTTTAATTAAATGAAATCAAATAAAGTTAATAATAAAATTTAAGGGTTTTATAATTCTCATTTAACATGAGAATTACAAATTTCCTACACACCCTTCGATTTCCGTACTGACATGGGTCTTATATATAATTTTTTCTAACACATGGGTCCCACATGCTTTTTATCTCTACAATATGAGATTTCAATTCTCCTTCAAGATGGGAATTATAAAACCCAAAATTTAAACAATAGAAATTGTTGCGATGTCAACGTTGTCAACGCTAGGTTACGAGGACAGGTGGCGTTAGAGTAAAGGTAAGAGTTGCGGAGAGAGAAGGAAACCTTAAACCTAAATGTAATGTAAACAGTGGCAGTCCCGTGTTTTTGACAACTGGAAAGGACAATTTTAGTTCTTTTGTTGCATTAAGTCATTAACGTCGCAATTCCCAAAACACGAGTCACTGAGTCTCCGAGTTCCAAACCTTGACGCAATCGAAAATCTCTATTCTCTACATTGTTTGTGATTGTTCTGCTTCTCATCCTCATCCTCATCCTCAGGATTCAACAATAAACATAATATCGCTGTTTCAGTTTCACATTATTATCACAAGTACGTCCCTCGAACCTGCCTCTCTCTCTTAATTTTTCTGCCTCATTATTTCTTGCGTGTCTCAAACTGAAAGCAATTGTTCTTTTGTTTGTTTGCTTTTGGCAAAATTTTATTCCAGTTAGTTTTTGTCGTGTTTTTCACGTTCCGAATTAGGAAAGAAGGGGAAGATTATAGAAATTTAACTTAAATACATAATTCAGGGTTGTATACAATCTGGGTCATCTGTTGTGTTGCACGCTACATTCATGTAGAGACAGTTAATTGAGCAACAATCTGGTACCTGTAATGTGACATCAAATAAACTAAGGGTCTAACTGGCTTACGTATTAGAGCAATAATAACTCACGAATTTCACCCTCTGAGACCTGAGACAAGTGGAATGCCAATCGATGTTTATCAAGCCTAGCTCTGTTTCTGATTTCTATGTAGATAATGGCGGATTGGCTAGTTTAATACCTAGTTAATTTTGAGAAAGATATTAGGGTTGACCGGTCAATTCTAATTAATTGGTTTTCTTGTCCTGAGTAATTGGTCTTGTGGAAGTGACGTGACATAAATCAGAATTCAGAAGTCCTCTTGTATTTTCTGAAAATTCAAATACTTCAACAAGTTACCATGCTGCTTGTAACTATTTCATGTGATCTGTTGTCCGAGGCAACCTTAGAACAATTTCTGCATTTCTTCTTTCTATATATTGATTACTATGCAGTTTTGTACCAAAAAAAATACCATCTGTTCTAGAGTTTTTTTTTTTTTTCCTCTTTCTGGATCTGAAACTTGTTACCAGATTACTGACGTTGTATCTAAACTTTTATCTGATATGGAAATTGCATTTCTCTGATCTCAAACTGGTGTGGACTTGGCTACGGGATGGCCGTTATGTTATGGGAGGAATATAGAAGGAATCATATGCTTTCTGATAAGAAAATGTAGTATTTAGATAGTTTGAAGACAGGCCATGTTAGCAAATCAGCATTTATGGTTTTTTTTGTGTGCTTTTCTGTATTTTGATTCCATAACACTGAATTTTCTGAATATTGCATAATAGCTGATACGAAGAAAATTTGAATCTTTATGTCAAATGATAGATCAGTTTACTCACAGGTTTATATTATTGGTTTTTGTTATCCCCTCTTTTGAACTATGCAATTGTAGGATTTGCAAATCCTACCAAACCAAAAGTAATAGGATTTACAAATTTTCAATAATAATAACACACAAAGTGATTTGTAAATGAATGAAGTTGTTAAATTAATATCATTACAATCACGTTTCATAATTTGTAAATGAGATGATTTTTTCTATATTTGAGACTACACACACTGACACACATAATTTTATCATAGAATGTACATCGAAAGTCCTATTTTGATGACATTGTATATGTTGTATGTCCAATAGGAGCTTGTGGAGAGTAGAGAGATACACCATGGGTTCTGCTAATGGAGCAGCTACTGCCCATGGGAAACAGCCTCTCTTTTCTTTTGCATTGATATCTGATGTCCAATACAGTGACATTCCTGATGGTCGTTCATTCCTTGGTGTTCCGCGGTACTATAGGCATAGCATTCTTGTCTTACAGAGAGCAGTGAAAGAATGGAATACTCATCAGAGGCATAAGTTTGTGATAAATTTTGGGGATATTGTTGATGGATATTGTCCAAAAGATCAATCTTTTAATACTGTAAAGAAAGTTGTGGATGAATTCGAGATGTTCAAGGGACCAGTGTATCATTTGATTGGCAATCACTGCCTATACAATCTGCCTCGCAGCAAGTTACTTCCGTTATTGAAGATCAAGAGTCTTGAATGCCAGGCTTACTATGATTTTTCCCCAGTGCCCGAATATAGATTTGTAGTTCTTGATGGCTATGACATAAGTGCCATTGGTTGGCCTCAAGATCATCCCAGAACATTGGAGGCCTTGAAATTCCTCCGGGAGAAGAATCCAAATGAAGATAAGAACAGTCCAACAGGTTTGGTGGGCCTTGAAAGAAGGTTTCTTATGTTCAATGGATCTGTTGGGAAGGAACAAATGGAATGGTTGAATGGTGTTCTTCAGGAAGCAACAAAATTGAAACAGAAAGTGGTGGTCTGTTGCCATCTGCCTCTACATCCTGGAGCATCATCCAAGGAGGCACTGTTGTGGAATTATGATGCAGTGATGAATTTGATACACAGATACAATTGTGTGAAGGTTTGTCTATCTGGACATGATCACAAAGGTGGATACTCCATTGATTCCCATGGAATACACCATAGAGTTCTTGAAGCTGCGTTGGAATGTCCTCCTGGCACAAACGCATATGGATATGTTGATGTTTATGATGACAGAATATCACTGTATGGTACGGACAGAATGCAGAGTACAGACATGTATTTTAATCATAAAGCGGATTTGTGATGACAAGATGCATTGATGTTTAGAAGCAACCTATTCGTTTATTAATATTAGAGAATATAGTGATCCTGAATCCTGATGCAAGTCCTACCCACAGAGGGAACTTTCTATTTAATGGAAGTTGGAATTACTCAGTCGAGTTGGGTAACTTGCAAGTTCAAGATTCAATCACTTTTTGCTCCATTTTTCCCTTGCTTCTGCGAGAGGCAAAGAAGCAACAAGCATTAACATTACTGGATGTTTCCTCATAAATGAATTGTCCGCGAAGATTTTGAGTGCTCTTGTATAAATGTTAATATGTTTTGCTAGACATATATATTTAATGAAAAACTTTGCTGTCATCGTTACCTAGTGAATGCTCTTACGTATTGTTAGTCATTATAAGTACATTTTATTGTGAAACTACAAATTTCACTGCTTTCTACATGACTCCTCAACCTACTTTCTTCTTGGCAGGTGACTCAGCTCATTGCAAGTTAAATTGACATTTTAATTACTTTTGGCTTTCATAGAATCATAGTGTGCCACTCATCCTAATCACAGAAATCGAATTGTTTAATTATTAAGTATCTGCCCTCTTTCTCATCTTAAAAGTTTTGGGTGAGATCATGCATCACATCGATGTGAAATATAGTTATACCGCATTGCTATACATAATTGAGGGGGTAAAATAGGACCATTGTGATTTATTTATAACTATGGAATAAACCATTCGTAAACCAGTAAACTTTGCCATGAATTTATTTCATGTTGGCCTCCTGCGTCACTCAAATCACTTAGAAGCCTTTGACTTTCTCTTCTCAATAAAGAAGAACATAAACAGGGACAACACCGAGAAAGCACTGAAGCAAATGGAGCAGATATCAAGGGACGCGTGGCGTCCACTGATTGCCTGGATCTCAAACAAGTTGGTGGTCTTCTTGGCATCCGTGGTTTGGCCGTAACCCACTTCCACGGCGTTGGAATCAAGTGCGTAAGCGCGTACAAAGTACGTGGCTGTGGGCACGTCTCGCTCAATCAACCACTCGAAGCTATGCAACGTTTTGTTGGAAGCATCGTAAGGTCTGGCTACGACCATGTGCTGACAGGTCTTGTCCCTGGAGAGGTTGTCGACGGTCTTTCTCCAAGCGCGGTCCTGTTGGCTGATGGGCGCGTAGCATAGCTTCGCCTTTATGGTTTTGTAGGCAGAGTCGGTCCCAGCTGGTAAGGTCTTGTTCAGAGCCCATGTCACGGTGATTTTATCGAATCCAGCTACCAGAACTGCATAATTATTAATACCAAAATTGAGTTTAGCATGAAGGAATGAACATTAACGAGTAACGACCCAATTCATAAAATCGTGGATTATATTGCTCCTAGTGGCATCTAGATTAATTAGATTGTGTAAGGGGAAAAACATAAGAGTCTATTCACATCAGCTTATTTTGTGCTTAAAATTATTTATAATTAAAATCATACCGAATTTTTTTTGGGAAAAAAAAAAAATGTAAATTTTCTATCAAAATTAATCAAAACCAAACATGACCCAAGTGATTTGTCTGTTTTAATTTGCATCTCATAGGACATTAATGATAGTAGAATTTGACTAGTTAGATGGAGAGGTATATCTGAGATGGGATGTTACTTGTGATTTACTTACCTTGTCCCTGCTTGGAGGAAACAGTGACATCAATGGTTCTTTTCAAGGAAGAGAAGAGAACATTCCCATAACAAGTTCCAGCTAAACAGCAAAGAAGAAGTGATGCTACCACAAGAATCCCGCTTGCTGCCATAGTTACTCAGTTTTCAACTCCAACAAACTAACCCTTTCTGAATGTAAAGTCAAAAGTGTGAGAATGTGAAAACTTGAGAGAACAGCCAAGAATTGGAATTTGGAATGATATGCTGAGAATCTGAGTGGGGATGCACTATTTTTAAAAGCCATTTATATAAAGCCCAATCCCTTTAAGTATTACGTAATCAAAACAAATTGAGTTTAGAGCAATGACAGCTATGACAAGTCAAAAGGCCCAAATACCCAAACTATTATCTAAATATTTGGAAGAAAAGAAAAAATAGTAGCAGTAACAAGCAAGTGGTAGAGATGGATGGCCCTTGAACATGTTAAAGGGTCATCCTATTGAGAACCAGCACCAGCTGAATATGCTGATGGAGTTGGATTGGACCGGTGTATTTGGCCAATTATAGAATTTAGTATAATTTTTATCGGTTGACTTTGTCATTCTCCCAAGTGCTTGGAGTTTTATGATGGACACAAGCAGATACATAATACATAGATATGAAAATCCTCGGGTAAATCTTGTAGTTATGGATATATTACAGGTTTGTCCTAAGTTCCCGAAGTGATTCAATATTTATTTGTTTTATTTTTTTGGTAAAATCCTCAATATTTTCAGTTAAGCTATAATGGAATGCCAGAGGAAGGAAGAGTTCAATTTTATTGCTTTAAAATATCAAACTTCATCTTGCTAAAATCTATAATTGATATAATTTTCTTTTTTAAAAAAAAATATGAAACTTTGATATAAAACTTCAAATGGTATGCAAAAGTTGCTGGTCGACAAATTTTGATCGAGTTTACAAAATTAAAAATCAAACATAAAAGGGCAAGGTGTCCGTTTCTGAAATCTCATCGTGACGAAATAAAATTGAAGTAAATCACAAGAAAATAAATTATAAACCTAATAATTTACTTAATAGTTTATCATATAAATCTGGAATTGTCAAAGAAATAAAAAATATCGAGGTCGTCAAAATCCAAGAGCTCCTATGTGTTTTGTCCCCTTATAAGTTTTGTCCCCTTATGTGTCACAAAGGGCAAGCAAACAAGAACTGAAGGAGTCCGTATTCGGAAAACGGACCTAGGCCGTAGCTATACAGTTACGGAAAAGACAATGCAGTCCGATCCCTTATCAAACGGTAAGAGGGCTTTCCTTCTCAATACATTATCCGTTATGATTATTTTATATTAGCGTAAATTATATTCTAAATCTTATATTTAATGATTTTATTTTATTAGATGTATAAGCAAATTAATAATCAAATTAAATTTTGATAAAATTGATTATAAAACATTTAATGTTAAAGAGTTAATTTGTATTTGCGAGTGATGTTTTCCAAAAAAGAAAGTGAGTTTCAAAGAATTATGTTTAATGATACAACAGAATCACCTAAATATATGCATGTTTTTAAAATTTATATTTAAAATAAATGTTCTCTAAAAAAATTAAAAATGTTTATTTCCCTCAAAACTCAATTTTGCTCACCACTTAAGTATTAAAAAAAGGGAAAAAAATATTTCTCTAATCATAAGAGATAAAATTATTTTTAATAATTCTTAAACTACGTCATTTTAGAATTGAGAGAATTAATAAAGAATATTTTAAAAAATTATTTATTCATTGTTATATAAATTTGAGCAAAATACATTTTATTAATTTTACCAACACTAAAAACAACATAATTTTAAGATTGTTAAAAATAATTTTATTGTAGATGACAGAAGAAATGATAAAAATAAAATAAAATTGTCAAACAAACTTGTAATGTAGAAGCTCATTTTAATGACTTGGAAATGCGATTGCAACCAAACACGCAGTTACACGCTATAAATAAAGGGAGTGGATCTTCTCATGTATTAATTAACATGATCATGTCATGTAGGGCAATCATAATCATACATGAATGAGTTAATGGTGATAAGGAATGGAAGAGAAAAAATATAAGGATAGAAAGTTACACAATCATCACTGTTAATTTAATTATTAATGGTTAAGATCCTCCGGGATTCATTTCCATAAATAAATGGATGATGTTGTTTGTGCCCATCTGCCAATAACTTGTCCCCTTTCAATGTTTTCCTTTCCGAATAGCAAATATGCCAAATTGTGAACCCAAATACACCGGGTTTAGTTTTCCTATGCCTTTTCGCTTTCTTTATAAAACTGAGGAATTTGCATAAATTTCCACACACACAAAATGGCACTGGGAAACTTTTTTTTAAGGAGAGCTAATAAAGGGGTCTGGCGGGAAAATTATTACTGGCGTTTGATTGTTGGGTTTGTGTAGTGTTAATTATGCTACCTTTTTTGGGTTCAATTGGGTTTTTTTCATAGAATTATTAGGGCCGAAAACTTTGGTCGTTCTGACAAAATGAAACCAAATCCATTTAAAAGCTGGCCTTTAGAGTGCGCAAGTTGGGTTTTAACAAAAAGCTTAGCCTAAGGTTCCGCAAAAAACAAACAAACAACCAATAAAGCCCAGTACAATTGGTAGATAGCTGAGTTTCTTAAGTATGTTGATAGGAGTTCGATTTCTGGCTGTGCCTATGAAAAAAAACTTTGTTGGGAGAGGTTTACCCACTTAATGTGATCTCCTGCTTCAAAAGAATTAGTCTTCGATTGTCAGCCGAAGAATACCTCGAGAAACCAAAAACAAACAAACAGAATATTTTTCAACAAAGTACTTCTTGTTTATAAATAAATAAATCACATCCAAAAAAGTTCTCTGCTGGCAGTAACTCACATAAGTTTTGATAAACAAGCCAACCTAGATTTATTTGCAAGTCCACTAAATTTCTGTAACATTTTACACCTTCGTCTCATTTTATTGATCAATTGATTAAATAATGGATGCGTTAAAAGTGATGGCCGGTCCTCTCCAATCTGCCCAATTTTGTATCACTACTTGGGCTCTATATATTTATTAATTCCCTTTCATTCTCTTAAATTGCAAATCGGCCCAACCTTCCTTGATCCGTTTGACCCACCATTTTACCTCCTCTTCGTCGCCTTTTGGGAAAAAGCTCATTTCTCATTTCTTCTATAAAAACCCAAGCACAAGTGCACAACAAAAGAATATGACAGTCAGTTTAAGCACAAAAAGAAGATAAGTGCGTTCAATTTTAGAAACGTACATAAAGCGTTTGAAGCAAATGCCATGATTATATATTATACTAATGGAAATGGTCACAAACCCCCTTTTTCAACTATTTAACTAGTTACTCTCTTTTTTTAATTTCTTCATTTTATAATTTGAACAAACAATAGTCATATATTTTTCCAAGTCGGGTTCATATCCCTGCCTTTGGCTTTTGAAAAATACTTCCATATTCGAAGAAAGTAAGATTCGATCCCAAAATTCTTAACTATTTAATTGAACTATAATATATTCTTCATGTTACTTTCTTCAAATAATTACATTGTGAAACTCTGATAATGAGAATATCTAAATCTAGCAGAAAATGCAAACTGCATTAAATGGAATCGTTTTTGACGGGGTATAATTATAATGGGGATTAAGTCTCTACAGGAAAAAAATTTAGATTCCCAGACACTATTCTTCATGGGATCCACTATTTTTTTTTGAAAAAAAAAAAAAAAACACAAATAATATGGCACGTTTCTCCATGGGTCAGCAGGAAAATGGTTTCTAATTACTGTAACATATGAATTGAATTTCCCAATTATAATTAGCCTTTTGAAATGTTTTATGAAATTGAATTTTTTTATTTATTAGACACTATAAAGTTCACTTTTAAAGTTTCATGACAATGTATTAGTTAGGCTCTTAAATTGAACCACATTAAGATTTTGTTTCTAAAGGAGTTACATGTAGATAATATGAATGTTCTCCTAAGAAAGAAAGAAGCTTTTTTTTTTTCTTTTCTTTTTGCAATAACAATATGCTAGTAAGAATAGATTACTTTAATATTACCGCAAGTAATATCCTAAAGCGTAGGCCAAGGTCCAGAGCCCAGAGGGTAGTCCTCAAAATATTCACTTATAAAAGATTTTTTGATACGGAAATCATTCACTCATAGCCCCTAGGCGTCTGGAAGAGATGACCATCAAGTGAAACTAGTCACCAAAAGAGAATTTGATGAACTTGTACACTTGAAAAATAAAAAGCCTTCTTTGAATCTCTTAAACCACTCAATTAACATTGACTTAGCTTTTCCTAATCTTTTTAATTATTTTGAAAGGTTTTGGTATATTTTATATTTTTGGGTTTTAGATTCTGCATCCAAATTTCAGTTAACAGTTTTCTAATAACTAACAGTGATGCCAGCCACATCAAGCTAGGTAGGGCTACTAATCTCAGGGTAACCATGGAACTTAATCAAATTCTTATTCGATAAAAAGGAAGCTAAAGTTAAAGTGGAGGATGTTCATTCTGCTCTTGTAGATCATGAGTCACGAATATATCTTTTATCCGTAAAATAAAATAAAATATAGAATACCTCGGCATGCAGTTTATGTTAGAAACAAAGACAAATACACCTAGAACGAGACAGCTACTACGCCGGCCAATTCTTACACAACACACGTAATCAAATGATGTTTTCTATGCATCTACAATGTTCAACCAATCTTTAAAATTTTAATATCTCACACCCCCCACCCTACTGCAAGCCAAGCCTTGTTAGTTGTGTGAGGAACAGAGAGATCAGTATCAGTGTGTCTCAATGGAGCGAAAGTTGGGCAGAGAAAACAAAGGGTCTCTAAGCCTAAAAAAGAAGATGGCAGAGACACGTCGTAGAGCAGAACCGGCTCCGGACCTCACGGATTTCATGAACGACAGGTTTTTTGGGACAGCAGATGTGAACGAGAAAACCTATAACCTCACAGGTGGTGGTGGTGGCGGCGATGGTTCGGTAATGGATGATGAGGACGATAGCTTCGACAGCAGCACTAGAAGTAACAGTGCAAGGTTGACGCAAGAGTGGTTGGAAGAGGCACGACGGATTGTGGCTTCATCTCCTACAAGAAGTAACTCTCCGGGACGCCTTTTAGGGTCCCCAAGGTTTGCAACCACACAACCTGGCTCTGGCTCACCCCTTCCCTCATTGGATCGAACAGAGGCTCTCTCTAGGGCTAGGTCTGCTAGAAGGTACGTAATATCAAAGGAAAATATGTTTCATATCTATCATCAATAAAATGAACTATAAACAAGAGAGAAAAATTAAATTAAAGAGCTTATAGTATATTATAGCATGCATCACTAGTCATTTCATTTTTCTTACCCCTCTTATAATTTTTTTATTATTGTGGGATGAAAATCAAATCATATGTTATAAAATAACATTGATCTGAAAGTCGTTAATTTGAATTTGATTAACCCCATTGATAAAATACTAAAATGATAATAATGTGAAGCAGAAGCAGAGCAGTTGAAGGGATCAGTGATGAGATACTCTCCAAATCAGCAAAACACAGCCGCAACAAATCCGACACATTCACTCAACCTTCATCAGATGGGGATGGATCCCCTGCTACGGCGGTCCACAAATGGTTCTCAAACATCCTCAAACCCACAAATGAAACAACAACACCACCATCACCTCCCGATTCTACCCTTCCTCTCCCTCCTCGCCAACCTCTTCATAGAAAGTCCCGCTTCCAAACCGAGCCCTCTGCTGCACCTCACCCGCAGGGGACCCAACCCCCTAATTCCCGCCGAACCTTCAAGACTTCTACGCCGTCGCCGGATAACACCGACCGGCGAACACCACCACCTCAGTTCGATTCTCTACCTCTGTCGCCGCCGAGGAAACTCGTGGAATCCGCTCACCGGAGAATGATATCATCTTCCACGTGCTCTCTGGAGAAGATCGCGCCAAAGCATGTTGTAAAAGGAGAGGAAGTAACCCAAGACTATAGCCTCAACGGGTTCCTCAAAGAGCAGAGGATTTTGTTCCAGAGAATCTCCAACAGAGAGCTCCATGCAAACGCCAAAATCGTGCTTTCTGGGCCTTCCAACAGTTAACGAAAGAAGTGATTTTTGTTTTGTAGATGATGTGGGAATTTTGGAAAGTGATCAACTTTGTGTGCGATGCAGGTACAGCGTCAATGGTGGCCGCCATTTGCCATGCGTGGCTCTTGGGTCACAGGCACAGGGAGAACGTTAACGACGGTGGAAGTGAGAGCGTCGTGGTGGTGCCTGTGATAAATGTGAAACGAGGCTTTATGTGGAAGCAAAAACAAGCTGCATGGCTCTTTCACCATGCTGGTCTTGATGCCACCGCATTGCTTTTCGTTGATGAGGTTACCTTTTTTTTTTTTTTAATAAAAAAAATTCATTTTTCAATGTTTAAAATTGATTCTCATTTGACATGGCTAATTTTCTACTTTTTCGCTTAGACAAGTTTTTAATTATTGATATTTGTCAATGTGTGATAAATTAATACATGTTCTGCTGCATCTAGGATGTTCCATAGTTTTAATTTCATTTTTCGGATACACGAATGCCCCCACATGAAGTAGCTGCAGGTTGATATAGGATTTAATAATTGGTTGGATTAGACAACACTGAAATTATCTCTCTCGTGATCACTTATCTTGAAGATGTTTGAGGATGTTTTATATATAAATAGTAGGATGGATTGGTTTTGCTTAGTTTAGTGATCTGGTATACCGAAGCTTGTTTGCAGGTGGACATGGAAAGTCTTTTGGTAACTGGCCAACTAAGCGTCCTCGTGGTTGGGCAAGATGTCTTAAGCACCACTGGCGAGGTTGGTTCATATGAATTATTGATGAATCTGAAAAATGAATTTTTTTAAACTAGTTTGATCTTTATGAAATGCACCATGATGCATACATGGGGTTGAATTTCAGAATTAATTTTATGTCTTATTTTGTTCTTACAGGTTGGATCTCAGTGCACTGTTCTTACCGATAATTACTGTGAGGATGCCTATGATCTACTTCAAAGCCCTGTGCTGAAGAAACTATTGGTAAGTTTATAGTAAACTTAGTCTCTAGACAAACTTTTGGTGCCAATAAATTACTTTTTTTTTCCCCATTTCAAGAGATGCTTCTGAGGCTTTTTTGTGACTTAGGTTACTCTCTGCTTATATATTATTTTGCAGCTTGCTGGTATTCTGCTAGACACTCAGAATCTAAAAGCATCTGCATCAATATCAATGACAAGAGATGCAGAGGCAGTCCAGTTGCTATTGGTTGGCTCTGCCCCAAACTACAGATATGCTTTATTTGATCAATGTAAGGTTCTCCATATTAAAATTGAGTTATTGTGAGATTATTGATTATCAAGTTTAATATATGGAGTTGGTTTTGGTTCCTTGAAGTGATGCAAGACCAAAAAACTACTTCTTTTATCGAAGCTTTGAACCATAACTATGGGAAGCCTACTAATGAAAGTAAGTATCTTTGCTGACCTCTCCATACATGTTATTGGCTGCTCTTTCAATTGCAAAATGCAAGAACCATGACCTTGGCCCTCTGGCCGTGGTCGCGGCCTTGTTCCTTTAAATCTTTTCCGGTAACCTTGTTATTGAAATTGCAAAATGCAAGGACCTTGTTATGGAAACTTTTTTCGTGACCTAAAATTTTCAGTGGTGAGTCATTGGACTATACTATTTTAATTGTTGTTGTTATTGCCATACACCAAATATAATCAAAATACAGAAAAGTTGACGTAGTCATCATGCGCACGTGGCTCCATCTCTTGTAACTAATTTCTGTTAAATATTAGTTTAGTTACCTTTCTGTTATACAGTAGCGTGTCATGTAGTTGATTTTCATTGTATTAGCCTGTGTATATAAGGTGGTGCTACGTGCATCAGTGTAATTTCATTCTTCATTCTTCATTCTTTTATCAAAATGCTAAACATTGAGAGTTATCTTGACTAGTTTTTGGATAGAGACTTGATGGACCAAATCAATTAAGAATATGGGGCTTTTTATAATTTTAAATTTCAACAATGTCAAATGCACTCTAAATACAGCTTAGTTTTCCTTTCAAGTATGCTAGAATTAAAACGAGATTCTTTCTATTGGAGGAAATATATGAAATGTTTTTAAGGGTGAGAGTGGTTCAATTTTTAAAAATTCTTATGCCAGTTACGTAATATTTCTCCATCTCCTACTTTTCAATTGCAAAAAGAATAATCTGAACAGAACATTTGATTACCAAGGATATGGAACCTTATTTCGTAAAAGGAACTGCAAATTAAATGCAGTATGGACGCATTAGAATAGTTACCCCATTAAGATAATAGTAGCAGTTTTCTGTAGTTTGAAGATTATAATATGGTTAATATGCTTCCTGGCATCTTTCATTTGCACAATCTGGTTTAGACTTTATCCATGCAACTGATATTTTACAATCTGGTTTGAGTATTTCCTTTGTTCTTGGTAATCATAGGTAACAAAAACAGTGAAGGAAATATGGAACATAAAGTTCGGGAGTCTAGCTCCACATCTGACCGTGAAACCACCATGTCAAGTTCAAAAACAAATTCCAACGACACAAAAGGTTCTAAAACTAACAAGGTTTCACCAAAACCAGGTTATATTTCATTCTCTTTCCTTCTATTCCCATTATGGTTTTTAATCATGTTTAGATATTTTGAACTCTTTTGATAACTAAAGTTTCGTTAGTTATTAAACAGATATTCTTAGTAAGTCTGTTTCACTTTGTTCCAACTATAAATGTGGTGACATCACTTAACCTTGCAGTCAAACTTAATCCGTCACCTTTGCAATCTCATGCTCCACAACCAGCACCAGCACCAGCGAATGCAGAAAAGGAAGCCTCTCGTGGGAAAAACAAGTTCTTCTTGGCAAGGTGGTTTGGTTTTGGTTCAAAATGAGAACAGATATTATCCATGTATGCCAATGGCTATTCAAATTTTGCAAAATTCAAAAGAAAAAAAAAAACAAAAAACAAAAAACAAATTAGAAGCTTGTATGAGATATCGCTTTTTTTCCTTTGGCACATCATTGAAGATAAGTGTCTCGCTACGGAGTGTACATGTAAGTTTAAAAGGTTTGTCGCTTTTCCAGTTAAATTATTACCTTTGTGATAAGCAATAACATCAAGGCCTACTCATTATTTTCTTTGTTAAATCAGCCCCGGTCCTCTAGCCATGTACTTTCGAATCTTTCTGGGTGAGACCTCGTTATTATTGTTTTTGACGTTGAAGTGAATATTTAATCTAATCTCCTCAGGTCAAAATTGCTTCAACTGCTTCCAGAAAAAGACGAACTTTGTTTGTTCACTTGCTCATTTCTTTGGACCCCATAGAAAAAATCCACTATTTTTTATCTTGTAACAAATGCTGCTGTCATTTTTATATAGAGTTTTTGGTAGATGTATCGTTCTGTATACTATTAAAAAACTTATTACTCTGCGCGTAGCGTTGAATTAAATTAAGATAACAGATTTACCATAGGCCTACAATATCCCTTGTTCATTGGCGTATCATATGAGCCGAAGTAGCTGAAAGCCCAGAGGGGTACAAGAAAATGAATATAAAATACTAGCTTTGGACCATAAACTAAACCATATATTTGGGCCTTAACCAGTGTCTGCCTATTTCATTTACTTCAATGCTTCACCTACCTTATAATAAATTTTATTTATTATTTGTGAAACCACAACGATTAGATTAATGGACTTAGGCAGGTAAGCATGTTGACGATGATACTGATAATCTAACCACTAGAAAGAGAACAATGTGTATAAATATGCGTAAGGTGCACATATATACATGGATTATTGCACTCTTATTTCTACATCATCACCAAACACCCCTCCTTATTTTCTGCCACATGCATGAACATCTTATGGGAAAATACAGACATTCAGTTCAGTAATCTACTGTCTATATTTCTGTGATACAAAATTTAGACAACATGTATGTACCTTTGGTAGAAATATATATATATATATATATAGCTCAGTTATCAAGATCGGATCAAGAAAGAGCACGTCCAATGAGAAAAATGTAGATGTAGACATAGATGCCTCTAGATGGAGAATTATTGAACGTGTGATTGTGATACAATCTGTATTGTCCAAGTATGCTTAATTGTTCAACCCCAGCTGTAACTAACTCCCAAACCCTGTATGGCCCCACTGGCTTTTTCAATCCAAATCCATTTCTCTCTCTCTCTCTCTCTCTCTCTTTCTCAACCCAATCTCAATCTGCGTCTTCACCCCATTCCATTTTGTTCCATGACTTGGAGACCCAAGTCCTTTTCCAACCTTATTTTGCCGGCGTTGATGATGATATATCATTAGGCTAACATGGTCCTTTCATTCAACCTTCCAAGCATAGAGAAACAAGCAAAACTCTGATGCCCCACTAACACTAAAGCCTTCCACTGATCCAGAACTCCTTGTGTGAGTTGATGATGGAGGTGATGAGGATGCTAATGGTGGTGAAGAAGATGACAGAGATTTAGATGATAAAATAGGCTTAAAAATGAATAAAGCATGCTTTAAACCAGGACTAAAGAGCCAATCATGAACATCCCAATATACCTCTAGTCTCATTTTGTTGAGATGAATTGACTCATTGCCTCTAAACTTCCATTGCAAGTGCTTGACATGAATGACCAAGTGCCCATCAATCTTTATCTCCATCTCTGGCTGAACCCCACTTACAGAATCGCCATTGCCCTTGTTCTTACACTCAATTGAGATCTCATGCCACCTACCCTTCTCGTGGAACTTAGCTCTAGTTGAGAACTTCTTCTTCCCAGATATGTGTTCCTTCTTTGAAACCAAAATGGGATCAATAAGTGCTGGCCTACACCCGGTCCTTCTGTAAGCATCTTTCTTTAGATCACCAAGAAGCAGCACAACCTCTTCATCACAAACTACTGCTACATAGTACTCTGAGGTTGGTTCTGTTTCGCCATTAAATTTTGCAGCTTTAAGGTCCCAGAAAATATCAACAGCTTTATTACCATCTACTATGAAGCGCTTGGAACCTTGTTTCCTCCAAAAATACCATGGCTTTAGCTCAACCTTGCAGCTATACTGAGTTTCTCCTTCTGGGCCTTCCACTGATACTGATAGGCCATGAAGCAGCAAATTTTTGCACCATGTGATGGTGATCAAGCGGCAGTGATCAGCAACCTTTGTTCTGTAAACGCTCTGACCTGAACGGGTCACAGCCCCATGATCATCACTCAGCTTCTCTGCAGAAGAAAAGCAAGCAGGAATCCCAATTGAGTCTTGCATAGTTCTTGATGTTGAACTTTTGAGTGTACAATCTGATAGGACAAGTTAAGCTAGAGTTTAAGTTTATTAGAGAAGTATAGAGATAAGAAGTTGAAAATAAGAGGACAATGGATTGGGAGGTATTTTAACATGAACTCATGAAGGGAGTGAGAGAGCCTCAGAGATATCAGTCACAAGCTGAATGAATGTTAGATGCTGCCAGAGATGATGTTGGCAGCATTAGTTGGATTTAAAAAAAAAATATTTCCAAACTGGCATATGGACTGGCAGTGAATGAGAGTGAGAGATGAACAACCCTTTTTATATTCTGCACCTCTGTCTTATCTCTCTTACTTGTCACCTCTTTTAATTATTTTGGGTTAAAGTTTACCTTTTAAGTTCTAAGTTGAATTTGTACACACTTTATAGAATCCAAGGTTGTTTTAATTCTACTATATTCAAAAGTGCTTATTTCCAGGCATAGTTAGATGCAGTGAAGCCATTTTTTCATCAGATTTGGTGTATAGATTTTTACAAACTTAGGAGTCATCTACTCATAACAGCACATGACCTGGGACTAAGATAAGGTCAAAAATAACCGGTCAAAACTGTTAGGGAAAAAGAGCAACTGTAGCTGTAAGGGTTAGCTTTCCAATGTAAGGTGCCATCATATTTTTTCCTTGTTTGAAAGGATCTCCGTATTACTATTGCATGTGACGTTTAATTAAGTTTAGAAATATTTATGCTATATCCCTTTTTTTCATCTCTCTCTAATATTTCTTGTTGTAATTAAACTTTATTGTTGATTTCATTTAAGATACTATTAATGTATTATTTTAGGGTTTTATTAATCTCATGTTAAATGACATAAATTATCTCATGTCATATAGATAAATTTGTGGGCTCCATTATCTGAAAAAATAAAAATAAAAGAAAAGAAAAAAGTGGCACAGTTATCAAAGAATGTGTAAGAGGAAAAACTTATCTCATGAGAATAGTTTTTCCTATTATTTTATTAACTTTTTATCAAATCCAATAACCTTCATCAGGGTTGAAGTTTTTTCTATTACAGGCTTGTGAACTTAGCATTTTATTTTTTTATAGTTTTTATCCGACCTTTTTTTACTCCAAGGAAGGGTAGGAGAGGAATCTAAGGAGTGGTAGCTGCAGAATAGTCTGAGGATTCTATGGTTGCAGTTGCAGATCTGGTCTTAAAGCATAGAATTCTGCATTTTGCTTCGAGACAAAGAGGCCTTGATGATTTTTCAGCAACCCTCAAGTTTTGCAGGCTGAATATGGGAGATTAATGTAGAGGGAAAAAGTGAAAAGATGAAATAGCTAATAAGACGTTCTAGTAATTGCATTGGACTTTTGTAATAGCTTTAGGTAATTTAGCAACCTGAACTGATCACATATAATTGGACAACTTTCCAACTGCTTCAGACCTAACAATTTAAACTCGACCCCCATTCAACAAGAAAAGGATAGCTACTAATAAGTAATGAACATCTAATCTTATGTAAATTAGTGTAGTATAGGTTGGTTGAAATAACATTATTCTAATTCCAAAAAAAATGAAATAACATTATTCAAAAGAGAAGCAGAAATATAAAAAAGTTTTCTACTTGGATGCTGTGTAGCTGTGTCAGGACTGAGAGCAGGTCATTGATGGTCAACTTTTTTTCATTTGAATGGAAATGGGCCTCTTTCTATTTCATTTTTTATTTAAAAAAAGCTTGCTTTGAAAATTTTGAAGTTAAAAAATGTTGCACCTAACAATTTGCTCCAAATAGCTATTATATTTGGTCAAGTGACGAGTAATTTGTATTACGTTGTGTATTCAATTTTCATTTATATTCAAAAAAAAAAAAAACAATTTGCTCGAAATGAAGGGAAATAAAATAAAAAAATGAACAAAATGTGAATCATAGAAACCGGGATCTCCTAAAACTAGATAAGTTAGTACATAGCCATCAGTAGCCTATGAAAGGTCTTAGAACGGTATAATTGAATCGACATGGAAAAAAAAAGGGGGGTTGATTTAGCAATGAAAGAAATGATGATCTATGTTAACCAAATTAAGATTTTCCATTGTCCTGGTTTTTCTTTTGTTAGTAATAATGCTTACCTATATCATTGAGTATACTTTACTACTTTTACCATTCTAACCTTAATAATTGTTAGAGAAACAATATAAACAAAATAATAAAGTACAAGTGATTAGAACAATTTTTTTATAGTTAGTTGTTTGATGACCAGAGTTAGAACTTTTGTGATATACATACAATAACGTAGAATTTACTATAATATCTTTTATTTTGAATAGTATTTTGTGCGCGATAAAACTCATATACAAAGGGACATGGATTATTGTTTTTTTTTTTCTTTTTAGAACATATATTATCTCAACAATTAGAGGTTGCAATATGGGTTGAATCCGACGGGTCAACCCGCAAATCCGTCAAAATTGGACGGGTTGAGTTACACATCTCAACCCACCATTCTGCCCCGCTTGTTTGTGGGTCAAAACGGGTTGCGGCCAGTCGGGGCGAGTTGATCGCGGATCAGTTTTTTTTTCCTTAACTTTTAGGTAATATTTTATTTATTACTAAGCTTTCGTGATATAAATTTTATTTTATCTTAATACTTCCCTAGAAAAATAAATTAAAAAAAATTTATTTATGTAAAAGTTTATTCATTTATGGAGGCAAAAATAAGTCCCTAAAAAATATCTGACTGATTATTAGTATATATTTAAGCTTGAGATTGGAAAAAATCTAAAGAGAGTGTGAAAAGAAAATAAGTAATACTATAAAATTAATAAAATATAATTTATTTTTAATTTTTAATTTTTAATTTTCTTTTATTTTTTAAGCAGGTTAATCCGTCAACCCACTATAAAATTAAGTGAATTATTTCAACCCACATTCAAGAAGCGAGAGAGGGTCGACCCATTTTGTCACATTTATCAACAATTGAACAAAGTAGAGTTCAACACAACACAGTTGCACAAAAAGTTGAGTTATAGAACAATTTTTTGTGTTATTAGCTATATTTGATGATGTTTATTGACAAATTTTTTGGGATTTGTGCTATATTGTATTAAAAAATAATAGACGATATTTCACAAAAGAAAATATGGTACTTTATTTATTTTTATCTTTTGTTATAGCAATCATAATTATCTCTTTGAAATGAATCGGATGAGTATTCTCACAAACTTCAAATCTTTGAGTCAGCTATGAAATTAATTTCAACTCGGAGCTTCATCACAGTTAAAACACATCACCCCTCTGTACTTTATTTATTTATTAAAATATGATAGGTTATTCTATCTACTTTTTTTTGTTTAGCCTATCACTCTCTAATACCATTAGATCAAAATCTCAATAGGAGAAAGAAGTGATAAAGGTAGTTGAGATTTTAATCTAATGACATTGAAAAATGGTAGACAAAAGTAGACAAAAAAGTAAAGTAGATAAAATAACTTATCCCTATTAAAATAGTTTAAATACTAAAAAAAATTTAAGAAATAGTACAAACTTCCAAAAAATTGTGAGCAGCTAAATCACGTTATGAAATCTTGTTACTTACACAAAAAAGAAAAATACCAATAAATATTATCATTGAATATTTTATTTTTATAGTACGGGAAAGAATGCATAACATAAAGAGAAAATATATTTTTTATGTTGTATGAGATAATTTTATTTTATGCATACATAAAAAGTGAGTGAAATCCACCTTTTTCCATCTCTTTTCTTCTTAGTGGATTCGACTCATTTTTTTGTGTGTTGTATGAGATAATTTTATTGCGTGCAATATGATAAACATATTCCTTAACATAAAAAGATATTATATTTTATGTTTTCTTAATCATTGCATTCGTCATCAAACCGTTAATAATATAAAAAATTACCATGTGTCTCACTTGCTTATATGGTGTTATATATCTCTCAGTATACATACTACACCGTTAATAAGAAAATGATACAACATTATGATAACTATAGTCTGTCGCTAGTAAAAGTTTTTTTTTATAACCTGCAGGTATGTTAATTCAATCTCATCTGGCTACTTTATCTTTGGAGTGTGGTCTAAAGGCTAACTCCTTATTGAAACAACGAATGGCCCCCAAAAATTTACTTGTGCCAGGGTTTGAACCCACAACCCAAACAAACCCTTGTGAATTCAATTGCCAATTGAGCCACCCTTAAAGGTTTAGTAAAAGTTTTTTAATCTCAAAGGGATATCATGATGTAAAAGTTTATATATTGTTTTAAAATTAATAGTGAATCAATATTTTAAAAAAAAATTATTTCATCTCTTGCTAATCATAATACATTAATTTTATTTATTTTAGTTTTAAATATTATTTAGTATGGAGCAATTGAAAGAAAACGTCTAAAGGATGTTTTGATTGTTGGAAATATTCAAGTGTGAGTAGTGATAAAAGTCCCACATCGATTAGAAATGAACAGAGTAAGGACCATATAAGTGCAAAAGACTCATATAACTACATTCTTAAGGTTTCACGTTGAGATTCGATGTCGGCTCACTTATTGTGGTTTGTCATTTGGCCTATTAGTAGAAGAATCATTTGTAAATGATTTTGACTCTCTCATACCATTCTTAACAGTGGTATCAGAGCCAATGGTTTGGAATCACTGTTCACTATAATACCCATAACTTAAGTATTTAAATTAATTACATGTAGTTCAACAATTAAGTACATATAAGTAGGTGGAATTAAGAAAGAGGCTTAATTAAGAGAATTAAAGTCACTTGTGAGTAAAAAGTGCAATCAGTGAGATTTTTGGGGTAAAAATGTGTGTAGACAAAATTACCTGGAATGTAAAAGTAAAGTTATAAATATAACTGAAAAAATATTCTAGTTCATTGGGTAAAGTTTGGTGGTGAATGGAGGTGAGTAGATAGATAAGCTTTTACCCAGTTCAATTTCACTTAACCTATGTAAGTGTAAAAAACACAAGGCCCTACTTCACTTTCTTCTTCTTCTTCGACAGTGGCTGAG